CGCCAATCAACACATTGCTTTTTTGGGTAATTAAACCGTTTACACAATGTACATATTATTTACACAACAACGCAATCAGGTTAAAAATGTATGTACAATGAATTACAAGTGAGGTGGTTCAGTGGTAGAATGCTTGCTTGCCACGTGGGCGACCCAGGTTCGATTTCCGACCAATGCACCAATGCGGCTGTAAATTTGTTCTAGACCAAATGAAAGGCAATATTTTTATGTTAGCGCTCCTTTTCGTTTTGAATCCTCGAAGAGTGATATTATTTAGGTCGAGAATAGTTCAAAGAACTATTCACGTCGAGAGGAATGCGCACACTGGTAAAAGTTTGAACTGGTGTTAGGCGCAGAGCCTTTTTTGTGACGTTTTTTTCTGTTTACATGGTTCACTGCATTGTGATACCATTCTCTACCAATCTCGGCTTAGTTTCTGATTTCGAATTGTGATGTATAGCGCGGGATTCATCTTGAGTAAAATACAGAATATGCAACGTTGGAAATGAGTTCGATACCTCCATCCAGAACTCTGCTTAAGAGTAAATTAGAACTAGAAATCATTGATAGGCAACTACGTATTCGATATAAATTCTTCTTAATTCATTAAATAGGGTTGAGAACGAAGTGTAATTGAGAAAATTGCAAATGAAACTCACTGAATCAATTTTTATCGAACTTACTTTTTGAACTCTCTAATCCTACTGTTTAGAACGAACAAGAAAGGGTGATGAAGAATTGCGATGACGCAGAATCAAGTCACGAAGAATTATGGATATCTGAACCAGAAGATCCGACATATTGGAGGAAACTAACTGGAGACATTCTTAAGACCGTTGTTATTAATATACCGATTCGATCATAGTTGTGGTTTCCATAGTCACACTAGCATGTTGATAAACATTTTAAATTCTGGTTCTTTGTTAATGGAAACTATACAACATTTTGTTGTTACCCACTTCACTTTTATTCGTGTATATTGTGATCCAGTTGAATTATTGATATACGCAGATCTCCGCGTTTCGATATTGCAGTTGTTCCAAGGAGCTGTATGCGGTAAACCGTATTGAAGCCATGCAAAATCTCTACACGTCTAGCGTTTCTAACAGAAACAGAATAGAAAGCGAAATAAATACGACCGATCTACGCGGACCGTTATGAAATGTGATGGCCTGCAGTAGTTGATTTTCTGATATTCAAAACTTTCCCAGTCATCTGATCGACACTTCACTTGCCTTAAGGCTGGTATAATACCACTACGTAGTACTCCTAAATGAGGGGATTTATTTAAATAACCCATGCTTGTACGTGTGAACCGCTCAACATCTTCATTCGTATCGCTTTCTTGCAACCATTACCTGTAGATACGATCGAGTTTTTCCCTTAGCATAGGAAACATTTCTCGTAAAATGCTCTCTATCTTTCACTTGAATACGTCTTTTATTAGATTATGTGCTTACATTGTTACTCCTGCACATAACTTATTGTATTATAAAATACTTGGTACAACGGCCGCGTGTGTGTCCCACATTCACATTCCCTCTTAACCACTGGGCACGCCACCAGACATTGCCTTCTTTGCCATCGGGCACACCACTAGGCTTGCTATCGGGCACGCCTCATTGCTCGGGTAATAGACCTCGCAACCCGAGCCTTGATTCTGCGACCAATGCCACTCTCTTGGACGTAGCCACTCCCACTAGCACTGTCATTTGGCTTCTGACGGCGCCTAGGAGATTGCTGTTGCCATTCCATCATCATTTCCTACCTGCCTAATCCTCCTTTACAAATTCATTTGCTTAGGTTGTAATGATATTAACTGAAATCCTTAGCTCTTGCATTGCTTGCACATTAATGTTATCGTCGATTCTCATCTAATTATGTAATGTTCTTAACAAAAGTACTTTTATTGCTCACAGGTACTCTACTAAGCAATTCTTCACTCTTATTGCTAGAGTACCCACGGGAACGATTCTCACATTCTTGCGCTGTGAGCACGTAAATCGTAATGCTGTTGAAACCATGGCAATATTTTGACACAACAGTATGCGCTATTTAATCATATCCTCACAAATCTGTTGCATAATGCCCTACAATGTTATTAATACATTTTATTATAGAAAAACCACTGAACGACCTCGCGTGTGATTTATTATTCATTCACTTCAAGTCTCATTGCACTGTTGCGTAGGCTACATTTATATATGTAGAAAAGTTTAATTACCCAAGCTTGATAATCTGCCTAGCAATTCTTCACTCTTTTTGCTAAAGCACTCTTGTGAACGCTTTTCACATTCTTGCGCTACACCTGGTTCAGTCACAGCTCGAGATTTTCGCCCACTTTTACTAACGTGTTTTATATTTGTCAAGCGTGATTTCCCATGAAATCCTTAGATAGTTTTATTCGTGTTTGGACGTCCCTAGGAGTCGTTGGTCCATGCAGATCTCAGGTTAGCTGCTTTGCAGCTGAGATAGTGCACCCGCTTCCAATATGGAGACGATTACCACGACAAACGGACGAACTAACCAAGGACGATGTGCATAGATAGATGACCCATGTTCGGCCCTTGTTTAGATCCTTGCTGTTCATTTGTTCGTTCCGTTCTCTTGCAGACTGCAGCTTGAGGACCAGAACATTGATTTGAACTGTGAACTCAACTGATATACGCGTCCATTGAGCATTTCGGTCCACTTGATTCACTCGTAGTCCACTTTTATCTCATTTTACTGAATTTGGCATTAATTATATCTGCTTCTGTAGCACTCCTCGAAAAGTTTATAATATAATGGTCAATACGAAGTTTGGAGAATAATCGTCCATCAACACATCCTTTTCTCAAATTACTGCACGTACTACTTTAGTGTGGTCGTGAACACCTTTCGCAGTATTGTGTCGCTGTATGGTATTTCTTTGCCAGTTGGAAGAGTGATTGGTTGGTGGAAAAGCTGTGTCGTTGCTATGAGTCATTACAGTCACCAAACGTTTTATGTAGGATCCATTTATATCCTAGTGAACTAAGGCAGACAGAATAGCGTTGTGTTCAAATTACTCAGCTTACACGAAGTTATTGCGAAACTTTTGTTTACCAAGAGTTTCGGTGTCTTCGCCTTCCTCAGAACCGATGATCCGAATCGATGCCACAGTTTTGACAGTTTGGATTGGATTGCCACACGATGCTGTACTCCAGCGAATTCAATTCAATACGACAGCGAAGATCCACATCGCGAGAAGAAACGGCTGTGGGGAATCGATTCTGATTGGTGGGACTCTGAGGAAGAGGAAAGTGCCGAAATGTTAGCCTAGTGAAAGTCTTACACCAACCTCCTGTAAAGCTGATCAGTCCAAAAATGTAACGATTATTCATACCGAGGTTAAGTAAAAATCAGTTTACAAAAGCACTATAGTGTACTTCCTCAAAAACGATCGCCAGTAGGTAAACGCGAGGCTAGGTGTTGCATCGATGGTGACGGATAGAGGGAGATCACATATGATAACGAGGTATTTCGCCTGCTGTTCATCTTTGTATTCATGGGATTTATCCAGAATTCTTCCAGAGTTTTATGCGCTGAAATCTCCCTTACACTCTTAGGGATAACCCGTCTATGGTGGTCGCATGTTAATTCGCGTAGAGTTCGTTCAGGAGAGCGTCGAACCATAACCTTGCTTCGTCATGGACTGTATCACTAACCACTGAACTGTCCCCATACCCCGAACTCGTTGTTACTATGAATATGTCAGGAGGAAGCCTCTAATGACAACTTTACCAACTGCTACACAAAAATTCTTCTGAGTACAGCAGGTCCCGTTTTCACTATAGTGCAACCTATACTATCGCATCGGAGTTTCGTGCTCTACCATCAGAATCTGCCTTATGGCAAACCTCTGCAACCTTTAAGGAAAACAGAAAAGTCGTCCCCACCAGATTAGATGACCGCTAGTGGCGTCGGGTGGCCCATACCACCTGGAAACATCATTACACGTGGTATTCTACTTTCTCCCTTACTCTACAATTATGAAAGACTCGTGGAATGTTTCTCTTGTGTCGAAAACGCGCTATCTTATCTGTTTTTCCTCATTTTTATCCATGCGATTCTGAATAGTCGCTAAGATGTTCTTATTTCTTCTTAAGCATGTTACAAGCGCTGAGGTAACGTTGAAGTTGAGACAGTAGCCATTGATAGTTTGCAAATCTTTATGTTCGTCGCGCTAATTTAGCGGATAGTCAAGTGATCCGTACTGGAGTTATAGGCCCTAAATAACAAATTTCACGAGACGAAACTATTGGCGGTCAGTTAACTTTTTCTACAAATCTTTCTATCCATGAAGTTTGTTAGTTCCATCCATCACTTGCAAGGAATTCATATTTTCATGAAGGCGTCCACAGCTGTTATATTATGGCTGTCTTTATTTGCTACGGTTGTGTGCTAGTTGTGCAGTTGTGCGTACATGTAAAATACAAATTGCTATTGATTTTCGTGGGCGTGCTGTGTGGCGCCGCAGCGCGTCATTCTGGTGGCCTAAAAGTTCGGTTTCTTCTGGTTCATCTCATTGCCACTTGACTTTACTGCTTTTTTGAATGCTTTGCATCCGTTCAGAAGATGGTGCTTACGGCTGTTAACCATTCTAAGGTTGTTAAGTTCTTGTAGGATTTACCAGTTGCCTTGTGCTTGTATTCAGTAACTTAGTGATTGCGCCGACTATATTCGGCATAATTTGGATTTTATCGTAACCAGCGCTTTCACTGCTTACTTTATCCCTTTAGTCAAGTGGTTATAGATTGGCGTTTGAAAACTGCTTGTTTTGCTCGGCTGTTAATGTAATAAAGCCACCAACATTCATAATTCAGTTGTACTCGCAAATCAGCATCATACCTTTCAACTACTTATTGTGTCTGTTGCCTCGTCAGAAACAAATTAACTAGGCCTGTTGTTGGACATATATTCTCCATACAGGTGACCGGAGGGATTCTCTTAAAACTATTTCCAAGCATTATCCAGGCATGAAGCGCGAACATACATCGGACGATGACAGATACAGCAGCTCTCGTAATTCCAAGAGACAAAGGGCTGATGGGTATATTGTTTGCTGGATTTAATTCTTTATCACTTGACGTATTTCCTTCGGGAGATTTTTAACCACGAATTGCTCTTTTAAAGTTTCTCTGAGGCTTTGGCTCAAGGCAAATTTGAGTTGCGTGTGCTTGTAAGCAGTAAATGTGCCGGAGCGATTATCGGTAAAGGTGGTGAGAACATCAAACGTCTGCGCAACCAGGTATGTTACTTCTACTCTGAAAAATTAATGTTTTGAGTTCTAAGTAGTGTAGGCGGACTCAGACATTAGAAGGCGTCGGGTGTTTCGCTTGGAGCAGGGGAAAGCTATCGAATATTTTCTCATTAGTAAACAAGAAAATTGAGAATTCAAAGTAGTTTTCACGAAACATTTGTAGTTTAGTTGTAACGCCATTTTGGCTGAGTCCGGCCATTTAGGAGTGTAAATCCGAACTGTGTAGTTTATTTCACTGCAGATTCTGTTTTCTCTTGAATACTTTCACCTTAGGGAACATTGATCATCAGAAAGAATAGCGTAATTTTTCATACTAAGTTAGTTTTAGTTATCAATTTGATTTGTTATTGTGTAGTGTAGTGTTTGCAAATGTTACATTACCGGCCTCGTATATGCGCTAACCGTCCTCGTTTTCAGTTCGAAGGCCAGATCTCAGTTCCCGATTCCAACTCTCCCGAACGGTAATTCCCTACTACCCTCCCATTCATTGCCATGTGTGTTGTGCCCAAGAATTGTATTGTGAGGTCACGTGGGCGATGAAGAGATCGCCCGCTCCGTCTCCACTACCACAATGACCCACCCGGGCCCTAAGTTTATTCCACCTTTTTCCCTTTATAAGTATAAGTAATTGTGGAGATTGAAAGAATCGATGTTCAGTGAATCTTCACTAAATTATTTTTTTATGGTTTTTTTTTATGCAAACCAAAGCGGGGGTTTCTGTGGACTCATTTTAAACCGAAGTAGGCAGCAATCAGGTTTATCTAGTAGCCACCAATCAGGGAAGGATTGCTTTAGGAGTGAAATATTTGATAATGTTTTGGCTCGAAGAATCTCGAGAAAGAAAAAAATTAAGTCAGAAGGTCACATGATGCTGCTATTTTTGCGAAAAACTAGTAGGTTCACTTGACATCGATTCCTTATAGAATTCAATGAATTTTGCTCTAACGATGAAAGGCTGTATTTTGCCGTGTTTGTAGTCGATCTGAAAACGTACTAAATCCCTTGCCTTTCGAAAATAATAGTCTCAAAATTTTACATTTAACATTTCTTTTCGAGACGCCGATGTTGTTTTTAATGATCTTGCTTTTAACAGGGTGCTGACGTTGGTTTGCCCATCGTCGGTGATTGTTCGTATCGTCGAAGACATACTTCCGCGTATCGAGGATGTAAGCATCTTTGAAAGCTATTGCAATCATCTGAAAATTTTGATTATTTACGTAATAATCGTGAGGCATATGGTTCGAGCGCAAGTCTAATTGTGATGTTATATTGAAATTTTTTGAGAAGCGAGGTCTCGTTGGACCACCATAGCAACGAAACGTGGGCATATCTGGGTTAATATATTGGGTTCTTTTTGTTAATTCCTCATATTATTATCAACATAAATGGTTCGAGCATATTTTAAAAACAGTATTCTTATGGGTGTTTCTATGAAGGACGTGGGGAAAATAAATTAATATGCAGTCATATTCTTCCGTTTTGCCAAAGGTTAGTTTTCTATGCAGAACTTTCACTGGTCCATTTACTGTTTCAGTTATAAAAGTAGGGAATTGAAAGAAGGAAAAACATTTCTATGTTTACCGAGAGCTTGTTATTTTCTTGGTGCAATAAGAGCAATTATTAGTCGACTAATAGAGGTGGAAATATGAAAGTTAAGCAAAAGATGTAACAGTGTGACTTCAATGATGCGGAGATATTTGCAAAACTCCGGACCGCAGATGTCTGCGGTGGAGAACGAACGCGCTATTGTCCTTTCCGAGGAGTAACGCGTTCACCACCACACCATCCGGGTTCTTCGTTTCGCCTTTATGTATCACCATCATCGCAGTTATATTTCGCAATATACCCTGCCGTTAAAAAGTAGTCAGTTAATAGTAAGTTAAAAGTGTGACTTTAATTCGTTTTAATGATGCCTGTTGTATCTTTTAATTTCTTTACATGCTTGAGTTTTACTAATTTATATGACTAGTGATTCCTCCTAGTTTCGAATCATTCTTTCCCCTTCGTAGGTTTCAAAAGCAGACTTCTTTAAGTTCGAAAATACTCCACAAGGTTGTTTTAAGACATCTACTGAATTGATAAGCGATATAAAACATTTAGGTTCTAAAGTAAGAACAATCTTGCTTTTCTTGTACGTGCCATGACGTTAGCAACGCTTTTTGAGCATTTTCTAAACAAGATCGGGTCTAATATACACTAGTTAGACGTTTTACAATTTATTCCTAAATAATCAGACTATACCATTTGCAGACTCAAAACGACCGAGACAAATGCACTATTCGTCTACTGGTACACCAATCGCATGCTGGTGCTTTAATTGGAAGACAAGGACTGAAAATTAAAGAGTTGCGCGACAGAACTAATGCGAGAATCAAGGTGTGGATTACTATTCTTCATAGTTAATGTCGAGACGGAGTTAAAATGTTCTAATTTCAAGAAGGAATTACGTCGTACTTTCTTTCGTAAACAGTCTTGTTGACTCTTCCAGGTATTTCAACAGTGCTGTCCGCAATCTACTGATCGTATTGCTATGATATCCGGAGACGACCGCAACGTAATCGATGCTGTGGAGCATATTGTAGACGAGCTGAAACAAATCCCAATCAAGGTCCGTGTCGATTTGAATTTCATTATTATTTTGGCATTGAATGGTTCTAACTGTGAAGGGTTTTAGGGCCCAGTGAATCCTTACACTTCGTTCAACTATGACCCGGCGTTGGCACCGGACTACGGTGGTTTCTCACCTTCATATCCTTCTGGTCGAGGCCCAGCAGCCATTAGTCCCTTTTCTGGTATGGCATCTTGCATTTGTGGAACTGTTAATAGATATTGAGTGTCGAATGTTGAAGGTCGTAGCAGTCATCGCGCAGGTATTGGTGCTCCGATGTCAATTCGTGGCGGCCTAGGTCCTGACCTGCGTTACGAGCGCGGTCTTGGATTAAGAGATTATGATACTGGTAATTCTTAGTGTGCATTAAGTAGGATAAACTATTCACATAGCCTGTCATTGCAGGAGTGGATGCTTATTGTACTACCTATGAAAGTCGTCGCTTAGAACAGTTTTCAGGGCCGTATGGTAGTCCGATCGGTGGTCCACCACAATATGGCGGTGGTCACTTGTCCTATGGTGGTTATCCTGGCCAGAATACTATCCAGACAACTCAGGTGAGCTCCACTCGTATTAATCGGATATTGCCTTGCTAATTATGGACGACAGTGCTAAGCTTGTCCAGTAAATCATGAGTTTGTTGATAGTTTTCGGGATTGTATTCTGTCCTAAGAAGATCCTCACGAAGACGATTTTTTTCGCTTTTCTTGTGGCTTCGCGTTTTTGACCTGGAACGGGTGTAGAGTTCTGAAATTTAGTTCCACGGTTTCTGTGCGTACGAATGTTTGAGCTACAAGGCTCATTGCACTTCTTGCAAAAATGTGGATGTCGTTCACCGTAAGTAAAATCTGATCGATTCGTCGAAGACATTTAACACTGAGAGGGCCGCCGTATTTTTGCAAATTGCAAGTGCTTGTCTTGTTCTTGACAATTCGAGCGGTAATATACCATGAGAGGGGAAGGGTGACCCTGCGGTAGGGACGGCGATCTTCATAAATACGATTCTGGTTCGATCCTGGTTCGCGTTCACCAAGCCTCCTATCTCTCCGAAGTGTGGAAATTGAAACCGGATTTGTCTGAGAATAGTTCACTCTCTGCAATCCATTTATGAACGCTTTAGCCCAGCTCTATCAGGACTCCAGAGAGAATCGATTTCACAGGCGTTTAATGAGATTCATGGTGGAAAGGAAATCCTCATGCTGCAAGTACAAGTAAAGTGTTAGATATCCTTCGTGGATGATGCATGCGAAGAAACGAGTCGAATGCGAGGAGTGTCGAGATCCCCACAGTAGACTGTAAGACAGGTCGTATGTGTAAAAAAAAAGTACTGTGACACATCGTTTCCATTAGCATTGTTAAAGATTTCCATAAATTAGCTACACTTTATGCTAGATAGGAGTATAAGTGGACGAGCTGCTTTTCCGTAACCAGTTGGATACTGAGACGTCATTGCACATATTGCCACAATGGACAGACGGTGGTTCTTTTTAGGGTGAGATTTCTCACCCATAATACTAGGTTTCTGTTATGCGGACTTCGTTTTACACTTCCGATAGCTAAGCTTTGGGATATAAATCGCGGATTTCTCTTTTAATCTTGAGCAGCCTTCAGAAGAAAAACTTATAGCAGTAGCCCATGAAAATAGCGTTTGCAGAAGTTTTTACCACTACGTTTAATGTTCGAGATGAAAAAGTATCACAGTGTAGCAGCAAATGTGGTGTTCCACTGCACAATTAATTATGCAAAAGCTATACAAGTTGTCTAGTTTTGATTAAAGGTTGTCACTAATGTCTTGTATTTCTATACATTTGGGAAGGACGTTTTATGAGTAGGGAGCCTATCTGTTCACTAATATTTACTGTTTCCATCCTTTAACAATTTGTGGTGGTCGTTTTTGAAAGTGGTGCTGTCGTGTCTTTGTGGTAGCGACTGGATTGTTGTCCGTATTACTAGTACCACGAAAATCTTGACATATCATGTGTACATCTGCTTCAACATTCATATTTCGCTTTTCTTCTTCATCACTCTCCTTTTCGCTAGATCTCCTTCTGATCCCATGTGTTTTTTCCTGTGCATTTTCGTTGAAAATGTACTCCAGTACATTGGAGGTCTTACCCTGAGGAATGATAGCATTTTCTTTGTTCATTGTGTGATCAGTTTATGTTGTGTCTACGAGTTGCTCATGAAGTGAAAACAGAGCGTTGAGGTGGATATAACGTTCCGCCATTTACCTGAGTAACGCTGGCAACGTTGAATAGTTGGCGACGGTTGCCTAGCTGATAGCCAATCATTGTGCTTCTGCGTTCCACACTACACTATTGATGTGGCTACGCGACTATTGTTAAAAGAAACCGCTAGATCTAGTAGTTTTTCAAGTCAATCGCTACCTTGGTTCGACCAATTAGTTGTTCTGTGCTTTTTAACTTCTGCTAACTGTATCACGGGGCATCTTCGGATGAGAAACGACTATCATCATCCACAACACTGGTTATTCTATTTCTCTATGGCAGTGATTCGCTGATGTCATAGCTTCAAACAGGTATGCGTTTTACCATCGTTTTCAGGTGACCATCCCATCTGACCTCGGTGGTACGATAATTGGACGTGGAGGCGATCGCATCAACAGAATTCGGGAGGAATCGGGAGCGCAGATTCAACTGGAGCCGTCGACAGGACAAGAAGAGCGCGTCATCACAATCACCGGCACACAGACACAGATTCATGCCGCACAATATCTCCTGCAGCAGTGGTTAGTGACATAGGCTTTGATTTAGTTTAAGTGTTCTGGTAGTTCTAAGCTTGACTTTTAGAGTTGAGTTTCAGCTTCATACTGCATATGAATGAGATCTTATTGCGCGAACCTAAGAAACTCATGACTAGGAATTTCAACTTCCACTCAGTTCCACCTAGTGATGAGTTGGGAGATACGCTGCAACAATTTCAAGATTATTTTATGGATTTCCTCCATAAGATTCTCTAGTTCATTGGAACTGGGTAGTAACATCAGTATTTAATTAGATTTGCTTTAGGCGTACATAACATGTTTTCTACAAAGTCCTTCAGATATTTGTGAATTGTCGTAAGATCTTATCATCAGAACCAATTCTCGTATTTGTGGTAACCTCGCCGAGCTTCTGCGTGATTGAAATCTTATTGCCAGCAATATGCAAATATGAGGAAAAAGCGTTAAGGGTGGACGGAAACATATCTCGTCGGGGAATTAACAAGCTAATGTAGGAGGCAAATGATGGTTTATACTACATCGTAATGATTAATGACGTCATTTATCGGAATTTCGACATATGTTTGGAAATCAGAGAGAAATTTCTCCGTTTTTCTTTTGTCGATCATCAGACACCTTATCCTCTCGTCTACAATGTCAACGGATTACAATCGTCACTATGTTGATCGGTATTGGAAACATTGATACTTGTTCTATAAGAAATATAATGGAGTAGCACTCAGAAAATTTATCTTGGATGTCGTGCAATCTTGATAAATCCAAATCTTGTTTATTAATTGTACATCTCTCGATCATCTGAACTGGAAATTGCTTCAGTAATGCCGCATGGACTGCTTCCAATTTACATTTGTATGTGGCACCCTTCTCGTGCAGGAGCTATAGCATTGTGCACTTTTGATTTGGATGTAAACACTCTTTATTGAACACCTAATTGAGACTGCCGAATGGAAGACAGGAGATTGCGTCGTCGCTTGTTTACGTCGCTGCAATCCCCGTCTGTCCGATCGGCTCGATGGGGGTGTCTTCTTCGTGGCACTCTATCAAAATTGTGGATTTCCTTTGTGTCGTATTTGATGTTCGTGATGTAGCTTCTACGAAACACTTTTGAGTGATCACTCAGTGGTCTATAATAGCAGGTAAATACAAAGAAGTAAAATTTGTTTCTAAAATTCTCGCCTACGAACGGGACAAGAGTAAGCAGCAAGCATAGTTCTCATTGTTATCATTGAAACGAAGCAAGATGTAATTCAACACTGTTGTATTTGAAATCTTTGGACATGTTGAATCTGGTGTATTATGTGAGTGCTTAAATTTTTTATTGGATCATTCGTAACATCTTGTAGTTCCTGTTTTGTTTCCATCAACAAAATGGATTGAAAGTGGTAGTTGTTATGATTTTGTTGATTCTATTCATTGTTGTTTAGCTACGTCCGGCCGCCAATTACCAGGTATCCGGTACCCCAACTCATGTTGTTTTCTCTAAATTATTTTAAGTAGTGCAGTATAAGTAATTCTAGTAGTAATTTGGAGCTTCAGTTAATTCATTGACTTCCAGCGTGCGCCAGTCGGCCGCAGGCCGCAGATACATCGAACAGCAGCAAGCTGGCCATCACGGTCATCACCACCGCTAAAGAGTGAACTTAGATCACAAGGTGGTCTCTGGAACTAATGTTTCTGTGAATCCTCTTTTTTCTTTTTTTGTTTCACTGTGTTTGTTTATTCAATCATAACAGTGTATAACCGTAGTTGTGAATGTAACATGTTCAGTGTTGATTCATTCATGTCTAATTTATTTTAAACGTAGCTCTCGATCACAGTTTTTTTCTTACTTTCGAGCGGCGGCGCGCAGTGGATTGGTGTTCGATGTTGGCGTTGTACTATTGTTGAGCTGCCGATCTCGGTACGACACGAGTCGTGCACTGCAAACGTTCCCACTCCTTACACCAACCGCGTGTTGTTGATGAACATAGTGTTGTTGTTCACACGCACGTTTGTATATCCATTTGCACGCTATATGCCGCAAGTTGTCTTTTTCTTAGTATTTGTCGTCACGTAATAAATGTGCAACAAGCATTGACAGCGAGAACTGAGCAAAGTAACTGAGTGGAGAGGTTTTGCATCGGTAACTACAGAATGTTTTAGGCACATTCTATGTAGGTTGGTAATAAATAATGCGTAACTAGGCTATGCACAAGCCATTAATTAGCTCACAAAGTGTTCATGGACAAAAGACCGTTTTAGACGCTGGAAATTTGTAATAGAGGTAGAGTATCTTAACATCCTGAATGATAGGCCATACAGCGTCGATAGTGCTGGTGGTGCTTAATCAACAAGCTTGCTTGATGTAATGGTCCGACTTCACAGCGTATTTTCTTCTAGATTTCTTAGAACTGCAACAAAGACGAAGCAAAGTAAACGCCTGATTCCAAACAATTTCCGCTTCTGTAGAATACGACGGCTAACAATTAACAAACCGGAAATTCTCTAATTCCTTAACGAACTCAGTCAACGTGCCCTTTACTGGCAGCCGTTAACATTTTGGTAAAAATGAGAGGATCTTTCGTCACCAAAGCATCTTCAATAATGAATAAATGAAATAGAACCATTACATACAACTAAAATTTTTTCTTTAAGTTGACGGTAGATGCAATAAGGGCTCAGACCAGTGCAGTCAGCATAAAGTCTTTATTGATGACATGGATCAATGGTGAAATTAATCACATTTCTATACACAGTTTAGGGACTAGATATAGTAATTGAGTTTGACCATGTTAAACTTTAAGAAGTCGAATGAACTGACATATTCAGTTGAAAAACGTTCTCGTTAGGCTCGGATGATCCGTGTTTAATTACGTCAAGAACAAATAGGCGCCTAGGGAAATGTACAAGAACATATCAAGTAATATGCTCACATTGAGGAAAAAAAACCAAAACAAAGTAAAAAGAGTCAGCGCGTAGGGTTATCAGAGCGTAACACCAACGAGTGAATAACTACTGCGCAGTCAGGTGGTGAAAAGAAAACCGATATAGTACCAAACCCCTGAAAACAAAGTCCATATGTACGAATAAACGCTTTAACTATATGATGCGTTTTGCTACCCAGAATAACACAAGGATAAAATAAATATCACCAGGCCACCAATGAAATCATTACGGGGACAGGATGAGTGCACCGTAGTCACATAGAAGCCAAAAACCCTCAGAGTAATAGGTAAAAGCAAAGCTCATGTGAATGCATTATCGTATCTCTTTCGCCAGGTTGACTGATCTAAACATTCCAGAAACAGGGTGAGAAGAGATGGAGAGAGAGAGAGAGGAGAGAACACATGCTAGCCATACGTTGAGCTGAATAACCACAAACCATAAAGCACATACAAACAAGTCGATGCGCGTATCATTGTCAGTGACCAACTGACCAAGCATTGTGATCCATGTGATACGTGATCGATGCTATTCGATGCAATTCCATAAAGATGGGCAGTAGTGGTCAGGCATAGCTCGTCTTAAGCTTCGAACATACACATTGCGGTCGACAAGACGTGGCCCGTCGCCGCCGCGGGGTCACCTAAATAAGGGTGTGGTAAAGGGGTTAATATATATGTCTTGGAAACATTTTTACCACTTCCAACAATAGAAGCCGGTGCCTTACCTTATCAGTAGGGGATGATTCACTAGTTGAGAAATGTACCGTAATCAAGTTTTCCAACGTTACCAACATGGACTCCATATTAGCAATCTGTAATGAATATCAGTTAAGTTATTAAAACAGAACAATGGTATTAACATTGGTTGTAGAAAAAGTTTACAAAGTGTTACAAGTAAACCCTTGCATAACTACTAATCTGAAAACAAATTGAAACGCGACAATTGATTATACAACAAGGATGGATGAAAGCCAGAAAAGTACTTATCCAAGTACAATTCTGTGACATATCAAAAATTCCCCCATTAATGACTGCTTCAAAATTGCAACACCAAGGGTTCTGTTTCTTAAAAACACTGAAGTTAACAACTATATGAAAAAGATAACCATATCATTATGTCTTTATTTCGAAATGCTGAATGAACCGATGGTGCCAATTTCCCGTACCAGGAAGGATGGAGGGGTTTGTGAGGCATGGGCGTAGGATCGAACCAACGACCAATCCTGCATGCGTGGCACAAATGCGGTTCGTAGCAACTGTACGAGTTTCAATTACGCCATCTAAACATATTTTCACTCACCTCGATACCAACGGAATTTATGAGACATTCGCAACGTGTAATTACTGGTTTGAGAGATTAATGCACCTTACTATTATGGGAAGGTATAACGTTTTTTGGGACAACAGCCCCGCTCTCATTTGCTTCAGGTTAGCTTTTCACCGCACGAAACGCAAAGTTCCACTCTAAGGACTAAGTAGGCAAGGAAAGAAGGAACTCCCGAACGATCAATGTAAGAATCAAAACAGATGCTTCGTAAAAACCCGAATTGTTTTCATCTGTCTATCTCAATTATAATTTCCAAAAAATGAAACGAAATGATTCCTACGGAATATGTCTTTGGGTAAGATGAGTTGAAAACATTTCAAAAGGTGTTAAACTACAACATTTACGAAAAATGTATTGGGGTAACTATAAAGTCCTAAGTTTCACTTATTGCCTGTACTACCTTATTTATTGTAGCTTCCGTTTAACTGGGTTCAATGCCAATATTCGGTTTCCAGATCATTCCTGTTGACGAGCTATTGCTAATAGCACCGATAGAGCAAATAACTGGTTGAAACAAAGGCAAAGCAAGGGTCTTGGTTGGTGTATTGGATAGCATACGAACATTGCGTAATGTAATCGAAGGTTCGAAGCCTAACTGAGGTTCGCTGTCTCAGAATCTTTGTCGTTGTATTATGGTAGTTAAGCGAAATTTGTTAGTGAGAAATTCCATTAAAAACCAATATGCTGCAATGCAATACGTCACATATAATTATTTGTATAATGTACATGTTATTTATGGCATTTTGGTTTTTACTAAACGCCGAAAATTCAAACGAATTATAAATATGGACACATCATACTGCGTTTTATAACGTGAAAAACTCAAATATGATGAGCAACTAAGAGCACCACGCACCTGTTGAGGGGTAATTGATGGTTCTGTGGGAGCTGGAAACGTCTTTTCCAAAGCTACACATCGCTTCATCTCCACCACGTAAGCGGCCACGCAACCAATGAACTGAGAAGCATGTCGAGTGAATTCGACACCTAAAAACCACAACATAAATTGCAAAAAACCTACTGCTACTATGTGCTAAGATTATAAGCCGCTATGAAAACTCCCATTAATTTAAAGACTGAGGTTTCATTTATTAATGAATGAAATCGATATTACATACCGCTGAAAAGACTTTAAACTATGTAAAAAGAAAGTCTCAAACACATCCTCGACTTTTCGTCGGACTCATCGCGGAAGTCGCTGCTGTTGCTGGAGGAATTCTAGACACAAGTAAGTAAACCTGTTCTTATAAGGACTAACGGTCGATCATACTGAACACCCTACCACAGTAACCTTGGTATTCCAATGAAAAGCATAATCACTCAACATTTAACATATAAACGAATAGAGAAGATACGCCAAAACCACGTATTAACCCGACCTCTTCCCCGATTGATGGTAGCAAGACAACGAAAGTAGGTGTTTATGAGCTGATACTCTGTATACTATACTGAAACTTGGAAAGCTAATCTATTTCGGAATGAATATGACTCCTATGTGGGACCAATTTAGGCCGTTGAGTTAAAATACCAATGTGCTAGACCACATCCAGCACCACTGAAAACAGTCCCTATACAATGTTTTTCTTCAATAAGCAGACACGAGGTTGTTAATATAGAATTTATTAGAATACAATAGCTCACGTTTCGGCGGTTTCGCTTTCTTCAGAGCCTGGAACGGTCAAATTGAGATGTGATCTACTCAGCCAAACACTTTCACAACCCTAGCAGATAAAAATTGACAATTCGATTTGCATTCGCATAAGAAACAGCTTCATTCAAACATCTACCGTTTATTTGTTGTAAGTATTTAAGTTAGTTGGCGGATAGCCGCCGCACAGAGTAATACATGGTCGATAACTGTGTCCATGTCAGGTCATTGGATCAGCCTGAGGTATGGCGCCAGGCCACGCGTGATGACAAGACACTCCTCCTTGCGGTTCATTTTTGAATTTTTGGCATTGATCCAAAACGCTTCAAGAGTTTTACGCGCTGATGTTTTTGATTCCTGCGTAAGGATAGTGACTCCTACCTCAAAATCTTCTCCGCTGTGTTCCTGCATCCTATGCGCGCCTAGTGGAGTGTTTTGTTTTAATTTAGATTTACCGACTAGGTGTTCTTTTATGCGGACGCAGAGCGGTCTACCCGCTTCGCCAACATATTCGTGCCCGCACGCTTTACAAGAGATCAGATAGACTGTACCCGAACTCATGCAATCACCGTCTCTACCATTTGGGCAAATTATGCATTTTGTTGTACATAGACGGTCGCATAGGCGGTTGCGAACTAGCTGGTGTCTTAGAGTGTCCGGTGGTATTTCTATCATTCCTACAGAATTCTCTAGACCGGCCCTTACTAAGCAGCGTTTTATAGCTGCACTTCTTTCGTTTGAAATAAAGGACAACAGGAACGGAGCCTTGTTTTCGCTAGAATTATTGCCCTGTACTGTTATTGATCTGTACCAACCTCGCTTAAGAAGATCAGTTTATAACATCACATAAATAAATATATCAACTATCTATGCCGAGGTTTATAGAAAGTCGCTCTTTCGAGTTATATATATATATATATATATATTGAAATATATATATATATGTTCTTTTTCTATCTTATATGGCCAGTATTCACGTCTACTGTGCGGATCTCAGCACTTCTCACATCCAATTCGTTTCCTCGCATCCATTATTCACGAAGACCTTCCAGCTTTTACGTGAAGTTCCGGTTGCCGCTCGAGGATTATCATTTCAATTATGATGATGCTGAGATATTTGCAAGACTCCGGACTGTAGGTGTCTGCGGTAAGGAAGGAACGAGCTATTGTCCTTTCCAGGGAGTAACGCGTTCACCGCCACACTATGTGGGTCTTTCGTTTCGCCTGTCTCTCAGCTAGTTCTATTGATGACGGGTGATTGCTGATGGCGCAAATCGATAGAACTAGCCGAGAGACAGGCGAAACGAGGGACCCGCATGGTGTGGTGGTGAACGCGTTACTCCCTGGAAAGGACAACCGCGCGTTCGTTCTCCACCGCATGCACCTGCGGTCCGGAGTTTTGCAAATGTCTCAGCATCATCTTAGTTGTATTCCACATGATACCCTGCCGTTAAAAATTAAAGCAGGCAACAAATAAAAAGGTTAAGATTGTGATTATCATTTCACCATGAATGCCGTAGAATGTTGACCGAGCAGTTCTAAGTGGAGTCCTGAGATAGCCGGGCTGGAGCTTTCCCAACTGGATTGTAGAGAGTAATTTTTCCCAGACAAGTCCGCTACCAATTTCGCGATCCCAGATAGATAAGAGGCTTGGCTGGCCCGGAGCAGAATCGAATTAGTACCACACTCGTGATAACGGACATCACTACCACTGTGCTCTCCGCCCCTATATATATATATATATACATATATATGTTTATATATACATATATACGTATACATATATATATATATGTAATACACATATGTGTATATATACATATCGATCATTAATGTCGAAGTTTGTAAAAAGCCGAGTTTCTGAGGGACAACTGTATTTCATAATGCGAGTAAGAGCTGACCAATATGCACCGATGGCTACATGGACGCGAACAGCACCATTTCCTTCTCATGACGTCCTTTTCACAACCCTTTTTGGCGACAAAGCACCTACAATCAGTTTGTTTGCTCTCTTATGAGCAGATTAGTGATTCTTTGGTTGTAGGCTAACCCGAACCAATTTCGAAGTCACTTGAGTAATCGCTTCTGTGAGCGACGCAAAGTGTAAGCCAAACCAAAACAGAAAGTTCACCACGTAACCTAGTGACTTCAGATCCCTACAAATATGCACGTATGCCGTAGAATGTTGGCCGAGCAATTCTCCCTAGAGTCCTGAAATAGTCGGACTGGAGCTTTCCCAACTGGACTGTAGAGAGTAATTTTTTCCCAGACGTCCGCTACCAACTTCCCGATCCCAGATAGATAAGAGGCTTGGCTGGCCCGGAGCGGAATCGAACTAGTACTAGTGATAACCGACATCACTACCACTGTGCTCTCCGCCCCTATATACATATATATGTATATACATATACATATATATATGTATATATACATATATACGTATACATATATATCTCCGCCTCTATGTATATGTATATATATATATGTATATATATATATATATGTAATGCACATACGTGCATATATACATATCGATAATTTATGTCGAAGTTTGTAAAAAGTCGAGTTTCTGCGAGACAACTGTATTTCATAATGCGAGTAAGAGCTGACCAATGTGCACCGATGGCTACATGGACGCGAACAGCACCATTTCCTTCTCATGACGCCCTTTTCACAACCCTTTTTGGCGACAAAGCACCTACAATCAGTTTGTTTGCTCTCTTATGAGCAGATTAGTGATTCTTTGGTTGTAGGCTAACCCGAACCAATTTCGAAGTCACTTGAGTAATCGCTTCTGTGAGCGACGCAAAGTGTAAGCCAATCCAAAACAGAAAGTTCACCACGTAACCTAGTGACTTCAGATCACTACATACATGCACGCATTGAAGTTCTAGCAAGTCGTTAACAAGCACGACACACAATATCGTACCTTCATGTCGTAGTTGCGGTAAAACACAGTTTTTCGCCGCTTCGCAAGCTTTTAGGCACGCCCGGCCAGCAGTTTCGACCTCTCTGCAAAGTCGAATTTTGAAATCCTCAAAACGGCTACGAAATATCCAAAGTGACATTCCTCATATCCTTCACGTTTACAAAACAGCACAAAAGTTGAGACAATAACCCTCCCTTACTTTTGAACAACCCTATCAACCCATATAGCAACTAAGAGAATATGATTTTTTTGGGACTGAGAGTGGAGAAGAATCAAACTCACCTTCTCAGAGACGCGCCATCGTGACTAGTTCCTATACCCTGCGTCGCGTTTCGAAACAATGCCAGTTGCACGTTGCACTCGTGCACCAGCTGAAAAACTTCTGTGGTTAATTTCTCCAATAACAAGACCATTTACGTACTTTTTGAAAACATTTATATCCTGGTTAATTGAAATGTTGACATTTTTGAGGGTTATAGACAAAGCTGAAATGTTTTCGCAAACACTACACGCAACACATTTTTCCAACTAACACTAAGGTTTGCATTTTAGCACAAATTGTATAGAACCACCTGAATTCCATATGAAAATAATCTCACCAACTTACCTAAGGTTTATCATAATAGCCACTATATGCTAGGTGGATTTTCATTAATGACACTTATGAACACAACAGAGCACCAACAGAAGTCAATGGGGACTATTAGACATATTCAGACAATGACTGACGTTACGTCGGAGATTATGAATCGTTCAGATGGTGTTAACGGCATGCCTCTTTCTTGATACGACGACATGACACGCTCCGTCTTGCTAACGTCATCACTCATGACGTACACAAGACGTCAATCTCTATGCGCTCGTGCTTCTTATGCCTATGACGTGATGAACGTATGATCTTTGGAAAATAAAACACGAAGCAAAGAAAAACTATGAATCCCGTTCTATAACTCTCATTAAGCCTTCAAATAACGATAGTAGAGAAATCCGACGGCAGCAATCTACGCCTACAAAATGACCTCAGTGGACGACAAATCAAACTGAAAGAGGATGAAGAAACAGTAGAACTTCATTCGACTTCCTTTTCTAAGCAACGTACGTATTCTACGTTCGCAAAGAAATTATGCAAGGGCCATAATATTCTTGCAACATGTTTAATCACTTTTTCATATCGAAGGTACTAATCAGAAAAACCAAAAAGATGAAAGAATGAGTTGCTAAGATAAAAAGATCTCCAGGTATTCCTTGAACTTTTCGTACTCTATTGAGTACTAAATATCGGAACAGTAAAGGTGCAGCAACAGCTTTATTACGGGCATGGTGCTGCCTAGTGACTGACTTTCCGAAAAAACAGAGCAGCGAAGTGGTAGTTTCGTTTGATAGTAAACTTCCACTTATAAATAAGAATACACAGGATACTGGCATAACCACAATAGGACAAAACTTCTGTAAATTAGAAAAAGTATCCAGTGCACTGCACTCAACTTCGTTGAGCTCGATACCGAAAGTAAGCGACGAACAATAATCAAGCTATAGAGGAGCGAGCTAAGACGACTTGTGAGCAGACGAAAAGTTTCTGTATAATGTTGCCTTTAAAGATAGCAATACGATTTGAAGAAAAGAAGAAAGTCTGTAAACTGTTGATCAAAAAACTATTGAAGAAATGACATGATTACTAATCCAACACAAGGATAACTTTCTGTTGAAATTAGTAGGTCTGGACTGGATTTTAGATAAGTGATAAGTTAAAATAAAGACAGTAATTAGAGTGAAGTACGATCAGGAAATAACCTACGTCAGGATAGTTCGATTTCCAACGTTGAGATATGTGACTGATTATCTATCGTTCATGGTATTCACTATTGAGAGAGGTCACTTTTTCAATGAACGAAATGTGGGAGATTTTAAGTATCGATCAGCATGTTGGAACTCTTCACTCAGGATCAAAAAATAACAATACGAGTTCTCTGAACTTGATTTTGAAAAGATTTTGAAAAAATAGTCCTTAGAAAGAGATGAAAACCATAATATACAACAGAATTAAGAAAAAAAGAAAGTTTAAAATGCCAGAAATTAGGCGAACACCACTGAGAAATCAAGTTGAGTACAACACGAACGATCCAACTCACCAGTTTATACGGTAACAAAATGAAGTAACAAAACCCTTTCAAATACAGTTTAATCATCTTCTTGATAGGAAACCTAATCAGTAGCTCAGAAATGGCCTCTTATGATGAACTGACGTAAGAAAAATCACCAAGCATACCGCTTGAAACCGTTCCAGCAATTGTGCTTCGTCAGTGGACGTTGACGGGACACTCGACATTGACTGACGGTGACGACAACCGCACACTGATCTACCACGGAGGCACGACACCAGTCGACTGGGACGACGTGAGTCGCGCACTGATGACCTACCACAGAAGCACACGACCAGTCGATTGGGATGATGTGAGCCACGCGGTGAACTAAGGAAGCACGACACCAGTTGATTGGTAGGGGACGTGAATCGAGCTATGAATTCGCTCTACATGAACACCGACATGTATTTATAGTGTCAGCGCGTTTTTTTGTGCCGATGTCATTCAGACCACAGCCGTCGTAGTCATACTCTGTCCGTGCATGCATGCGTACATGGTGGTGTCTGTCTCGGCGTCCGTTACGAGTTCTTAGACGATTTTGTGTGATGAAGTAATTTATCTCGGAGACAGATCGGACTACATCATAGATGACATAGATGACGTCCACATCACCATCACCGTCAGTGATCCACTCAATGATTTCATAATGAACACACTCGAATCACTTAAAAAACCCATATCGCTTGCTTATTGACGTCAAAGCTAACATCATGCGCGTATGCCGATTTTCAAAGAAGACAGCATAAACAAGACCTCGTAATTTAAAGAGATATAGCCTTAAACTTACTGATCGATAAATCACAAACGGCTTTGAGAATAATGTAACGCGTTATCGACTTGCCGTAGATCACGACTCTTCGCATCTCTGTGTGCCTTCTTGAAAAAGTGTCGAGTATCAGATATGACGAAAACCGAGCTTTCCAGTAATTAGGGAAAAGGACATTTGTTTAAAATGGAATATTTGAATAGCAATGGAATATTCCTTAGTGTGCGACTTATTAAAGAACTTTATAAAACCAAAAAACTCTAAACGCTCTAAAGCTCTCGGCGTGATCAATCGCTGAGGGATGAGAAATGCATTCAACATCAATAAGCATCGTAGAGGTGATTGAATGCATATTTGGCACTTACAATGACTCGCTGTAGCTTACCGATACGTCGAGTAAGTGCTGCTATCCTCCCAAACAAGTTTTTTACCAATTTGCCGAACCCGGGGGCAAAAAGGTCTTGGTGTCTGGGGCGCGAGATCGAAGCAATGTGTACTGCACGGCGCCTCTAACCACTGCAATACACAGGCCCTATAAAACAGACCACTGAAAAATCCACCAAAGTAGGAAATAAGACACTAGTGGGAGCTTGACGACTACATGCGCTGTCCTTCTTCTACTGGTGTTATCGTTTACTTATTTGTTCCAACGCTTCAATACAGATTGTGACATTCACCTAAACGCTAATAAAGTCATACACTAACAAAGGTAATACTTTGGACGATTAATCCAGTTAACTAATTCTCACTTTATAGCTATAATGTCGGACTATATGGTAAACAACAAAAGACAAAGTAACAGTAACCTGAATTATCTTCTGCACTTAAAACTACTAACAGCCCAACGGCTTGATCGATAACCTCATACGCCATCAGATTATGTCGTAGCAATTAAAAATGTTATGCCCTATTACTCTCAGTATAAAAAGTGAAAAAACTCTCACATCCACGTTTAACACATGCAAACTATATGGAAGATAAATATTGTGCAAGCATATGTTAGATTCACAACAAGCATATTTCTTCATCCTATACCTTCCAAAACCGCGTGTGTGGAGCAATGGTTAGAAGTGCCCTGCAATATATTAAGGGATCGATCCGGCGCCCCAGCTAACCCACCCTTCCATCCGTTCCGGGACAGCAAATTGGTACCAAACTTGTCTGGGATGATAGCAGCACTGACTCGACTAGGCCACCGCAAGTCATTGTATAGATCAGCGTTTAGTCACCTTAAACGATGTTTAACGAAGTCGAATGCATGGCGCAAACCTAAGGAATTGCTCCACACCGAGAGCTTTCTCCTTTATCTTTATACCTTACATCTTCTATCCCATTTTCTATTTCTTACCATATCAAACATCAAATATCGTTCGGATCTTGGCACCTATTGCATTGCATTCTTCCGCTTTGATTATCTACGAAGTCGATTTTGCTTAATGTTTCGACTCCCACTTGATAGGTTTCTCTTTTCTTGCCTTCATTATGAATGTCTTTGATTGCTGGTCAAGTAGATTCTCTTTGGAATCCCGTCTGGCATAGCTGTCCCAGCGCCTTTCTTGTGGATCATGGATACGTCGAGGTTGCCCCTATAAATCTGGTCTCAGCATCATGTAAACTTAGCAATCTCATGTACTGAGAAGAGTCTGCCACACTACGTGTTGAAATTACCAACTATTCGACCCCACTTCTGTTTGCATTTCTGTTTTGTCCTATAAGTCGAGCTGGGTTTATTTCACTGTCTACTGGTACGATATTTAATCATTCCATGCGCTATCAACGATTCATCACATCGAGACCAAGTGGAACAACAATGGATTGCTGGTTGAAAATTAAACATTCCTCGCCTCCAGCAAAAAATCTCTACTTCATGCAGGCCGATGATTACTCATAATGATGACCTTGGAAAGTTTAAACATAGCTATCTCGGGATTTCTGAAGAAACAATCCTTCTCAGCCAGAATACCGTCAACCAAAAAGAAGTTGGGCTAATGCTTTGCGAAGAATGGTCTTCATGCCTCATTAATCAAAGCGATCGATAACACAAATTAACTCAAAAACGAGCGAAATCTTCACCGAACAAGAGAAAGAACATCTCTACTTTTGTAATCCAACTTACAGTGTCACTACGTCCTCATGCTTCTTCTAATGAAAACCTCGATGCAAAAGCATTAGCAGTCCATAATCCTTAAAAATAAACACGGCCCTACAAATCTTCAAAAATCCTCCCTTCGACTATGACCAGCCTGTGATTTAACCGAAGAAACGCTACACGTTGTCACTTTTTACGCCTTGATTTGCTTTAACAGTGTTTCCTAATAATTCGTACCATCATGCTAACTCATTCGTGTGAATTTACTAAGCTTCGCCAAGAACCATGGCGAGTACTCCTAAACGACTCCTGCAACTGTACTCGCAGTGCAGTTACTTGAATGTCGTGATGACGAGCGAGCAAAGAGAGGCCGGCCACTCGGCCACCCAACCAGTCACCCGGCTGAGCTAGTCGGCCAACAATCGATCCAACCCACGCTCTCTAGCCTCACCACCCAAGGCACACATATAAACGAACGCTATAGTTATCTGCTTATAAATGACCAATAACAAAAAACGTGGTCATGACAGCCAGAAGTGTTCAGGAAGAAATCGACTAAAGATAGAAGACCAGCCCCAAGGTCACATTAATAGGGTAACAACTACATATTTAACATGACTTCTATTCGGCCAACGTCTCGACGTCTTCGTTTTCTTCACAGCCAATGATCCGAGTCGACGATCCACAGTCGTTCGTCCTAACGTCGTCGGTCTTCATAGCCATATAGCGTCAAATCTTCTTCAGTAAAATATCGCTCGAAAACTGAGGAACCGCTTCACACCGAGGTTATGTGAAAGTCGGTTTAGTGAAAGATTATGTATTTAGTCATCAAAGTTGTTCTGGCTATGAATAATAGTAAATCGCTTTCATCACCAAGGGCATTACACGGTTTGAAAAAATCAATAAGGATAAAATATGGCGTTTCCCAGCAAAAAGATAATAAAAAAGGACAAGAAAGTGTATGATAAGCAGACTTGAAGCGTCCACAAAAGCACAAACGAACAATATCACACAAGTCATAACCGATTAGTCAGCAAAATATAATACCAGTTCGAAATAAAATCCAGCAAATTCGATGAAAGTACGAAAACTACGCACATAAATACTACTTGTAACTGTAGTACGGTAATTAGTACTTCTATTTTGCGCACGATAACACTTACAAAATTTGCTCGTATCATAAATATCGCGTTAGACCCGGGATACAAACGTAGAAAACTTACAAAATGAACAAATTTTTAAAGAACATGCAGAGCAAATAAACAACCTCATTTAATTTCCTGACACTAGACATGGAGTGCTGTCGCATGCCGCCACCGACCCGCACGCAGAAACAAACGAACGGGGGGTGGCGACGAGACACCGAAAAGTACTGAAAGTGCTGTCACTCAGCAGGCCGGTCACTTGCAGCACCACCACTTCAGCAGACTCAATTCGGCATGCAGAGAGTACGCACACAGCCACTCGCTCGCCGCGGCAGGCCAGGCGACGCCGCGTGCGGCGTTGCTCAAAACAGGACGACGCGCAAAGCGGCGAGCGTGTGCGGCGCGGCTGCGCTGCAGTAGAGCGGGCCCACGCAGCGCGGCACCAACAAGCCCGGCTGCCTGCGCCCCAGCACACGCGACTTCCACTCGCGCGCACGCGCCGCTAGCCGCTCGCGCCTTTCCTCGGCGTCCTTGGCGTCCGTAGGCGCGTCGTCGTCGCTCGCCTCGTCACCCTCGCCCGCAGAGAGGTAGCCGGGCTCGACGAAGAACGCATCGTGGTCCGAGTCGACGTCTGAGTCACCACCTGCGTCGTCCTGAAATCAGCTGGGTCACCGTTTGACGGCAATATGGTGTTAAGTAACAGTGGTTCTGTAACGATGAAGAAAGCACCACTTCACAAGATCAGTTGGGTTCTTTAGACCATTGTAGCCTTACCAGAACGTAGGCTATATCGTTGTTGCGCTAGCAAATATTGGAATTGTTATGGTATTTAATTATTTTGGCGGCAAAATTATGGGAAACTGATCGGCACAGTACGCTTTATGTGCTATTCTTCTTAAAGTCAAGAACATTCCACTGTAGATGAAAATTTATCGGCACGCCCAAAGCTCTGTGTAATTTTCGGCAGTGTTCGTGTCGCAGAACGAGAACCCAGACATCTGCTCCTATATTTTAGACGACTGTCAACTAACCTGGTTAATTCGACTTATACTTTATCTGATTGAAAGAAGATTGCAATTAAAAGTACTGCTTGTTCTAGTCTTATTTCATTTAGTTATCGCTCTTTATTTACTGCATTTTCTGTTATCACAGCAGAGTACAATGTAAAATACAACAATAGTGATGCTGAGATATTTGAAAAATTCCGGACCACAAGTGTCTGCGGCGGGGACCGAACCTCGTTATCACCCTTTGGGCATACACTTAAGGTAATTAGGGTAGTAACGAGGTTCGGTCCACGCCGAAGACACCTGCGGTCCAGAGTTTTGCAAGTGTCGCCGCATCATTATAGTTGCATATCATTTGGTTATGTTTCGACACACTTTTCTAATAAACATTCCAACAGGAGAACACATGAAATGTGGGAACAGCATGGCCTTAAAGGACTTGTCCTTCACGTTCTTTTTTTTTAAACTGAAAACAGCAGAAGACATTGATGCTGTGAGAAAGCATCTATTCAGAGATGACGCTAGAGCTTTTTCTTAATCGCTTTTGCCGAATCAGTATGGATTAAAAGTACATCACTAGAGCATTCGCAACCGAATGCGTCGTTTTCTTTGCAATCGCGGAGTTATACAGCATACATTAACGTCCAGAGAAAAACACACAATGCAATGCAACAGTAGCTGACGTTTCGGCAATATCACCTTCTTCAGAGCCTGGAAGGGTATGCAAATATACAATCTACCGAAACAAAAAAAGAGGTGTTTCGAGAAGCTGTTGATCATGTAATTGCCATGCTTTGGCCTGGTAAATTGCATATAAGTATGCCCTTCCACACTCTGAAGAAGGCGATACTGCCGAAACATCGGCTACTGTTCTATTGTATTGCTTTTCTATGGAAGTAAATGTATGCTGTTCAAAAACCTCGCGATTGCTGAGCAAGAAAACGACGCATTCATATTCCTAAGCCGAGGTTAGTAGAAAGTCGATCCTAGGAACTGTATAGAACAGACTTCGCCTTACCGTCCTAAAGAATATTATATATATATATATATATATATATATATATATATAT